ATCTTTCTCCTGTGGAACGGCTGGTGGGTTTGAACCCTCAGGCTGGCAGTCCAACAGTGCTACCCAGGGTTCCCTAAGCTATCCACACATGAAAGCTAGTATATGGTACTTCCTGTCTCCACACTCTAGCCCAGAGGTTAAAAAAGAAGACACTTGGGATGGATGAGCATGAATGCTTGTCGAACACAAATCATGAGCCAGGTGCTGTTCTGAAGTCTTCACAGGGCATGGTCTTACTTAGTCCTCACGAGAGAGATATTCCTTGTTTTCTAAAGAAATGTGTCCCTTTAGAACATAAAAAGTCAAAAGTATACGACACCATACCCGAGGCTGTGGATGATTCTTTTTATACCGGTGTCTTTAAAGCAGAGTCCTCTGTGTTGGCTGTCCACGAGAATGACTAGGGGTTTTCAAAAGTTGGATGCCGGGGACCCAGCCCGGAGAGTGTGATGTCATTGGTCTGAGATGTGGTTGGGACCATGGGATTTTGATGCTCCGTGGCGTTGGGTACCACTGTTTGAAAGGGCCCCTCCTCAGTGGCAGCAGCCTCCCTCTCTTTCCTTCCCCTTCCCAGGCGGGAGTGTCCGTTGTGGTTCTGGGCAACCCTCTCTTCTTCCAGGGACCCTTTAGTTTCATGCTGGAGACAAAGAAAAAATGGGTGTTGACTTTTTAGTTATTTGTGGTGCAGAGATTCCTGATCAAATTTACCTCACAGAGGGAAAAAACCTCAGCCTTTGTTGAGAGTTACTACTGACCATTTTAAATAGCTACCTGGCCCTCCCCAGCCAGAGGACCCTCCACCTCCTCCTGGCCCCAGGAACAATGGAGCAGGATGCCTATGTCGTTCAGCTGTGCAGACTCACACTGGCTCACAGGACAAGAGGTCACGTGTCCTTGCACTTGTGCTATCGGATTCCAGACCACAGGAGATTATATTTACGAAACCACAGTCAAGATTGCATCTCTTCTCCACAGCTGCTAATTTCCCTGCTCTGTAAGGCACAGAGAAGAAAAAGGCCAGCCAGCAGAAATATCATTCTTTCAGCAGCTCCCAGGGCTTAGAGGATGTGAAGTGAATAATTATAGCCTCTGGAGGAAGCCTTCATTATTCAGCCAGCACTAGGCGGCCCTGGCTTTATATTTTTAGTCCTGCTTTGTGGCTGGTGAGTGTGTCTTGGCACAATGGCTACAGGTCATCTCCCCACTGTCTCTGACTCTTTGTGAGGCCCTGAGCCAGCCAGGGAAGCAGTGCTGACAGGGGGCATCGTGTGACACTGGGCACACTAGGGGCTCCTACCCGCTTTATCTTTCATTCCTCACAAACGCACCCCCTGCCAGGTGTGGCTCTGGGGCTCACATGCCCCGGGAGGTCGAGACCCGAAGTTCTTTTCTTGGATTGGCTTCTGACCTTACCTGAAACCTCCCTGACTGTTGTCCACAGAGGGATTCTGAGGACCCGGTGTCACGATCGGAATCGTGGAGGTATAAAATGTGACGCTGCTGACTAGTTTGCCTCTGGGATTTTTCTTCTTCCTGTCAGGATATAAGAAAGACGACTGCCACCTTGTCTCGGGAGATAGGATGTAGACTCTTACGCCTTCGGTTTAAGTCTCACCTCAGCCATTTTTATGGACAAGTGTTTTGGGGCAAGTTGCCGACCTTTCTGCCTCTGTGCCATTATGAGTAAGACCGGGTTCACCCTGGTGCTTCCTTTGAAGGAGGCGGGCAGCTCAAATGAAGCACTGTTATGTGCCAGCGCTTCCTGAGCTTTATGCCCAGCATATATTCTTGGCACTTTTTCGTCATAGTTCCCTGTGGCTCTCTTCTCTCTGTTCACGGAGTCTGTAGTTCTTAGCAGTAGTGGGTTCTAGCCTTGCTTTTTCTAATGTTGAAGGGCTGTCACCCCATTTTCTGCTGCGCTAGCTTACATATTATAGTGGGTGGCAGTGTGGCCCCCTAAGAGCACACACAACTCCTAACCCCTAGTACCTCAGAATGGGACTTTAGGAGAAGGGTCTTTGCCGAAATAATTAAGTCAAAGGTCTCTGGGTGAAAGCATCCTGCACTAAGTAGGTGGGCCCTAACTTCCATATCATGTGATCAGGCTTTGATCTAATAAGGAATTGGGAAGATTTCTCACAAAATCAAGAATTTCTCAATGAAACCAGTCTCATAAATGAGGGACTGCAGTAATTATCCTAACTCTAGAAAATTTATACAATGTTGTCTTGGTTGAACAAAGCATACACCCCCCTCCCATGTCATCCCCGTTTTCCTTATTGGTAACATATGTGGGAGGGACCATTTCTACCCCATCCCCACGGTGATGGGGTTAGAATGAGATCCCCTAAACCTGCTCCGCACAGTGCCTCCGTGAGGATACCCTCTCTAGGGGCGCTACGAGTCAGAATCAGCTGGGGGGCAGTGGGATTGGTTTGGTGTGGGGTTTTGTAAGAGGGGGACACTGACAGAGGAGGGGGACATACATGAACAGTCCATATGAAGACAGAGGCCTGAGAGATTAGTGTCATGCTGTCATAGCCTGGGAATGCTTAGAACCACAAGAAATGGGAGGAGGCCAGGGAGCAGTTTCCTCTTACAGCAGCGGTTCTCGACCTGTGGGTCATGACCCCTTTGCGGGGTCGAAGGACCCTTTCACAGGGGTCGCTTAAGACCATGTTTCCGATGGTCTTAGGAACCGAGACACCGCTCCTCTATTGTCTCCAGGCGGGTCTGCTATGCAGATAGTCTACATACGGGGTCACCACACATGAGGAACTGTATGAAAGGGTTGTGGCATTAGGAAGGTTGAGAACCACTGCCTTACAACCTTCAGAGGGCTATGACCCGGCCCATACTTAGATTTCAGTCTTCTGGCTACCAGAGAATAAAGTCCTGGTGTCTTAAGAAGCCCAGCTTATAGTAATTTGATATGACAGCCCTAGGAAGCTTAATATGCTTATCTTTTAAGACTTGGCCCAGGTGTCACTTGTTCCCAGAAGTTTCTCCCAAATTCCTAAGGTTGGATGAGGTGCCCATGCTACCCCTCACATCTGCCACTCAATTCCCCTATGCTTGTGTAATTATCCATGGACGTATCTGTCATCTCCACAAACTGAGGGATCTGCAGGAGTGGGGGTTGTGTGTTATTAATATGTCTTATCATTTTTTGTTTCTTAAATCCTGTCCCCCTACCCCCGCCAACCATCACAGTAAGCAGACACAGTGTTTCTGAGGGGCGCCAGGGGGCTGGGGCACCGTCTGCAGACACCTTGCTCTTGCTGTACCCACTGTCAGGGCAAGGACCCCAAAGTATGACTGGGGCACTTCCCGCCATAGAGACTTTCAGCTGCTCCACCACTCTGGCTTTCAAGTGCCTCCAGACGCTGCCCCCAAAGTACTTTTCTGCCATTCTCTCTCTCCAGGAACTTCCTGCTCTAGGATTGAATCTGCCCCCGGGGTTGATAGAGCATATAGATCCTTGTAATCGGTTCACCCTTTCCAGCCTACTCTCCCTCTACACTCCCAGTATCGCCACTCACACCACTGGTCCTGAAGGGCTCATCCGCCCTGGATTCCCGGTGTTTCCAGTTCCTGTCTGTACCAGTGTGCATCCTCTGGTCTAGCCAGACTCTTTGCTTTGAGGCCTTCGTGGTCGCCCTGAAAGGAAGGCAGTGTCCCTTTTCAGATCCCTGTGGACCTGGTGGGTGGCTGTCCTGGGATGCCCGTGCAGAGCAGAGTGGGATAGTTCAGCCCACGCCTCTGCTAGCCCCTGACGCCAGTGGCCAGTGCTGCTCGTGTCAGCCTTCTCTGTAGTGCTGCCTGGGCCAGCGGCCTTTCAGGGCAGTAAAGCACCTCATTAAACTGGATATGTTAAAGGGTACATGAAGGCATTCTGTATTACTACAGGGTGATTCAATAACCCAGTTGGGTGGTTTTGTGTGGGTGTGTTTCATTTCCCTTAGGGTGTCTGTGTTGCTTTGCTCAGACAGGATTTTGTGAAAATGAATACATTACTGGAAAAGCCCCAGCGCTTCTTTAGCATTCAAATGCAAGGCTCTCTTAGTGACAACTGTGCGGTTGGAATGAACTCTTGATGATGAATGTCGCCATAATGCCTGGGGAGTATCACTCCTTCTTCACCTGAGGGTGGGCTGTGTTTCGGAAGCAACTGAAGATTTCACAGAAATATGTGTGGCCCAGAGAGAGCTGGGAGGAGCCGGAAGCAGAGAGCAGGGAGCCAAAGTTGGGCCCACTGTTGCAGGCAGAACCACCTGGTCAAGAGGCCCTGTCTCCAGATCATCGAATAAGGAGTCCATGAGTCGTCATCTAGTCACAGACATCGCGGGGTTGCCCAGACCCTTGCAATGAGTTGCTGTCTGAAAGTAATTGCGCTGACAAAGCATGGCTGGCCGGACAGAGTTCTTTCTGCTTAGCCAGTGGGTCCAAGACAGAAAAGAAATATTCGCTGAGAATCAGCTTCAACCCCAGAGATGATTTCCCACAGCCTTCTTTTCCCCTCAGTGAAGAAAGTTTGTTTCCCTTTTTAAGGACATATTCTTGTTAGAATTTACTGATGTAGTTAGAGAAAACAGTTTCTCAAAACTGTCTTGTCTTTCTCTGTGTTGCAAGCATGACGTTGCATAGTGGGAAGAGCTTTGGAGTCTTGAGTTTGAATCCCAACATTGTTGCTTGCTTGCTTTGTAACCTCCAGCCACTTCCCTTTTCTGCCTCAGTTTCTGCACCTTTGAAAGGGGACAGTCACATGACTGTATAAGGTTCTTGAGGGTTGGATCGTGTCCTGGGAAGAATGCATGGCAAAGAGCAAGGTCTTAACAAATGGTAGCCTTGAATATTAGAGGTTTGGCAATGGGGCTCAAAAGGAGCTTAACAAGGAGCTTAACTTTTTGCAGGTAATTGAGAGATAATAAATAATCAAGGCATGTTGGCTTGAACTACGGGCCCATTCTAATAGATTTGCGTTGCCTAATTCTTTGCAGAACAACGGGACTACTGAGCATCAGGTGGAGTCATTCATAAGGAAAAAACTGGAGTCACTGTTAAGAGAATCTCAAATTCGAGACAAAGAAGAGCCTGATAGTTTCACAGTGAGGGCGCTGTTGAAGGCCACTCACGAAGGCTTAAATGTACACCTGAAGCAGGTACGAAATTCCCACCTGTGATTGCCTTGGATAGGACCAAAAAGAGGGAGAGCGAGAAATACTTTATGGATTGTTTTTAATAAATTTCCACTTGTGAAGTGCTTATGTGGCTTCTTCCGTATCTGTCCTCATATCAGTTGAGAAAGGAAAATCTTGCAAAACAATCTGTCTGAGACATTTAAACTGGGATGGAGTGAGGGAGTGGAAACAGCTCAAATACAGCTTCCCTGGATCCTCTAACAATGCTCAGTGCCCCTGAACTTGCCTTGCCAAGCCAGGCATGCTCGTGCGAGGGGGAAGCCTCCGGACCATGGCATAGCTCGCCCCCCTTGCTCTCCATGTCTGGTCACCTGCATGCCAGTGTCCTAGCCGTGTCAACCCTTAACTATGTGTCTCGTGCATCTGCATGACTTATTTTTAAGTGTAATTTTGATCATGTGACTCCATTGTTTAAAATTCTTCAGTGGCTTCTTATTGTACTTGGGATAAATTCCATACTCTTTCACTGGAATTTCAAAGACCCGAATAATTCCATTCTTACCTACCTCTCCCACCTCAGATCTCCCCATTTTTTCCTATCACACGACCTCCTACCTCACTCTCATTGTCTCTGTATGGTACAGTCTGCCTGCTATTCTCTTCCCTCTGCCTGGGACATTTCATTCCTGCATCGTTGGCTAACCCTCACTCAGCCTTTTAGGGGTTACTGGTTCACACAGGGATCAAGTGCTGGCAGCTGGAATCCACCAGAAGCTCCTTGGAAGAAAGGCCTGGGATCTTTGAAAGGTTGCAGTCACTGAAATCCCTGTGGAGCACAGGTCTACTCTGCACACGTGGCATCACCAGGGGTTAGAATCAGACAGCAAATGGGTTTCTTTTTAACTCAGCCTTTTAAATTTTAACTTCACTGCTGTGTCCTAAATGAATCTTCCAGGCCCCCTGGATTAGATGAACTATTCTCCTTATATTGTCTAAAGTCGTTTTTTAATTAGTCTGTCTTCTGAAGATTTTTAAAAGCATATGGGCAATTACTTGTTCAATGTTTATCTTCTCAACTAGACTCTAGATTCCATGAAAATAAGAAACCTTATCAGTCTTGATCACTCTTCTTATTTTGGTGCTAGGTATAGTACTTGAGATGTCATAAATATTTATTGAGTATAATTGTTTATGTGCTTGATGAGATCTTTAATATGGAAATGGAAAATATTATAAATGGGCAAGGAAGAAGGATATTGGGTTTAGTGATTTTATAATCATAGGCTATTCAGAGCATAGTTGATCCATGTGGCCACTGGCTCTATTCCTGACAGCCT